GCAGAGAAGGGTAAAGGAGAGGGAAGAGAGAGAGAGAGAGAGAGAGAGAGAGAGAGAGAGAGAGAGAGGCAGAGACCTGATTGCCTCTTCAGAAGAACAGCGGGAATGGGTGGAGCTTGTCTCTTAAAGGGACCTTTTGCACCTGCGTACAGACTACTTAGTGATGTAGTGGACAACGGACCCTGGGATGACTAGAATACTGCCTGTGTGCATCTTGCCAGGTGACGGGCCAGAATTATGCCTGAATCCTCACACGACCAATGACGGAAGCTGGGATAATCCTGCATGATGACTCCTTTTTCCATTCCAGGAATTCGACTTCCTGACACTGTTATTTGCTTTAATTTTTTTATGCTATTTTTTAAAAATATTTTGAGACCAGGTCACTTGCAGTCGAGACTGTCCTTAAGCTTGATAAGACACTAGCGGTGTCCTTGAGCTACTGATCCTCTGCCTCCTCCTAACCACCAGTGCTGTGATTACAGGTGTGTGTTCCTAGATCCTATCTGACAACATTTTAAGGTTGCTTGTTTATTTGTTTGTTTGTTTGGTATTTGATTTTTCTCTCTCTGTCTCTCTGGCATGGGCCTATGAGCACTGTCTGTGGGAAGGAAGAGGTCACAGGAACAGGACAGTGGAGTAGACAGGGAACACAAAGCATGCTCTCAATGAAGACATCCTTGTGGAGACATTTTGGCTCTTCTCAAAATGGAGATGGAATCTTCTATGGAATTTAGAGAAACAAGAAGAGGAAGGCACCCAGGAAGCTCCCAACAGGAAGGAGCATTGGACCTTCTCCATCTTAATATCCAGTTCTGTACCTGTTCCCTTAAAGACTCCCAACTATCAGCTTCCAGCACCAAATATCCCAAACCTGAGTGTGAATGAAGACAGAGAGGTATTGAAGAGGACATAGAGAAGCCCCTAGAGGCCATGAGGGTCCTCCAAGTATCCAACAGAGAAACCACTCAAGGGACAGCTCTAGCCACTGGGGGAAGAATGTCCTGCGGGTGCCAGGAAACCACAGTCCACCATCCTGGCATACATGAGACTGACCTAGAACAGGCTGGTAGAGTGGGGCTGAGGTGGGCCAAACTGGCCGGATTAGTGAGCTGTTTGGAGGTGGTGGCAGAGTAAAGTCATCAAAGAATGCTGGAGCACGAGGAAGTGCCTTATCCTGAAATGGGGACCAAGGAAAGGAGCCAGGACATTGGATGAGAGGGCTGAGGGGCAGGAACCTAACAGGGACAGTGATCTCCAGGACCTGAGAGGATAGACACAGGCATCCTGAAAGGAGAGGATGAGAGTGGCTCTCAGCACATGGTGGGACGGAACCAGCCTTTGGATAAGGGCAGGGCAAAACCAAGAACAAGATCCTGGACTCGGGGGGGGGGGGGGGTCTCATGGTGAAGCAAGAAAGGTAACCACAAAAACTCACAAAATAGATACAGTCCCCAACAGGAGAGCCAAGAGTGGAAGCCCCACCCTTCAGTGATGCTCCTGCCTGGACCCACCAGTAGGACGGAAGCTGAGTATTCACCCAGAGCCCACAAGAGCATCAGCAGCAGAGACCTGCCTAAGCTCCCTGGTCCATTCCTCTGTCTGTTCCAGAGACCCCCATCATGAGACAACAGCAAATGTCCCTGGAAGTTCCATCTTCTTTCTATGAAAGCCCAATCAGCCCCATGGGAAGAGCTCTGAGGAAAGAAGGTTCTAGATAGAGACACAAGTTCAAAGTCAACTGTAAGCACAAGGCATCCCAGCGGGACACAGACTGGTCAGAACCTTCGAAAAACAGCACAAAAGCATCCACAACAAGAGAACACTCATCCATCATGGCCCTCAGGGCTGAGCAAAGTACCCATTTTGGCAGAGGCCTCTGACTACAGAAACTGAAAGGGTGGGGCCTCTATGAGACCCCAAAGCCTCCACAGCTTGGCCTGCCAGCAGAAGCCTGCGGGGTTAGAGGGAAGTTAGCTACCAGACTCTGATTTCCTGCCAGAGCCTGTCTCTCCCATGAGTAAGGCTAGAATCATTTTTAATTAGAGAGAAACATTTCCCTGGGCTTTTTCAATATGAATAACTCTGCCAGCTGTGACAGAAAAGCACACCCAGAGCTTCAGAACTTCTTACTCATGATGCCTTAGATCTGAGCTAGAGATAAGCAGACCACGTTTCTCTGACGTCTACAGGTTCTAGCAGGCACTGCCTCAGGACTGCATGGGTCAGGCTGTGACAGGCTCCCTTTCCCACAGCAATGCTCTTTCTTCCACTCCTCTCTCCTCAGGATCCCTGATGCTTTATGGGGAGGAAACAGCTGGTCCTTAGGTGTCGTGAGTCAGGAAAAAGACAGATCCCTAGAAATTAGAGTCTTCAGCCGTCAAAGGGCAAATCTCCCCAACCTCACGTGAATACACCTAAGGTGGCTTTCCTTCACACTGCCTCATGGCTGCTAGATGCCTTCCTCACTTGCCCACAGAGCATGATCCCCATGTCCCAATTCTTCCTAAAGGGCCCAGCCATGACAGATTCAACAGAGACTGCCCATGAATGGACCATCCAAGGGGAAAGCACCTAACGTTCCAAAGGAAATACCTAATATTCCAACCATTGTAGATAGGATTACCTGATGTCCCTCAGCCCAGCACACTCAGCAGTACACCCCTAGACAAATGCCAGTCACTCAGGTGTCCTGAACCTTAGAAATCCCTCACCCCAACTGAGTTTGGGGTTCTGATTGTATTAATGTGTTGGACACACAGAGAGTCCAAATTTAAACTTGAATAAAGGCTCTTTGCTTTTACATACAGAACTCGATCTCCTTGTTGGTTTTTGGGGACTCTGATCTGGGCATAATACTTCCCTTCATCAAAAGCCATAATGTTGGATTCCCTGATTTTTCTGGGTTGACTGAACCCCCCTTTCTTAAATACCATAATCTCTGAGATTAAATGACTCTCCTGGCCATAAAAATATTCTGTCTGTATCCTCTATCTTACATTCTGTAGATCCACAGAAGGTGCCCAAAGTTCGGGAAATTCGCCAACCGCAGAAGAGAAGATAAGACACCACGGTCTACTTTCTGTGTGTTGGAGATATTCCCAGTGTCTCACAAGCACACAAGGGATCGAAGTCAACCTATCAAGGCAACTTCCTTTTGTAAAAGAACGCTCCACCGCACAAATACTGAGCAAGCACTCCAGGCAGGAAGTTCACTTGTTTTTGTGGTAACACAGGGCATGAATGAGCCTTATCCCATTGGTAGGAGCCAGACCTCGGAATTGATGTGATTGGCTAATTCATAATTGCTGAGAAAGGGAAGGCTGTGATAGGAAGTTGTCTCAGAAGTGACCAGGGCTTGGCAGAGAGCACATACATGTGGTGTCAGGATGGTGGAGGTTTATTAAATATTGGCCAATTGGAGCTTTCAGAGAGGAAAAGAATTCTTTTTTTTTTTTTTTTTTTTATTTTATTTTAATTTATTTATTTATTAAGAATTTCTGCCTCGTCCCCACAACCGCTTCCCGTTTCCCTCCCCCTCCCCCGATCAAGTCCCCCCCAGGAAAAGAATTCTTGCCAGGTGTGTTGACAGGAAAAGGGGGTGGATCTCCATGAGTTCCAGGTATCCCTGTTCTAGGAGCAAATTCCAGGTCTGCTGTTGTAGGTATATTCATCAAAGAAGACTGGTCAGATATGGGTTTAAGCCCAAAGAAAGACTTTACTAGTTGGCCCGTGACTAAACTGGGTGTTTGGGATCCCAGCTTAGCCCTGAACCTTTCTCGGGTTGATCTTTTAAGTACAAAAACCATATTCTGGCCAATGGGTGGTAGCACACATCGTTAACACCAGCATTTGGGAGGGCAGAGACTGGCAGACGTCTGTGAGTTCAAGGCAAGCCTGCTCTATAAGCGAGTTCTAGGACAGTCAGCACTGTTACACAGATAAACCTTGCCCCAGAAAAAAAAAAGCTAGCACTATACTCTGGGTTTTCTGGGTTGATACACTTCAGTTAATAAGAACAGTCAGTCAAAAGCAGAATCACAGAAGCTAAAAAGCAAGGTTAGTACATTCTGAGAGCTTTGATGGATTGGGCCTTTGTTTTAGCTTTGGCAGGTGGTGTTGTCTATGTGCTGAGTTTTGCAGCCTGAAAGGTACTTTCATCATGGAGTCAGTTCTAAGGTCTGAGGCTCTGTTACACAGCCAGGGATACATAGGAAATCCTGCCACAGAAAGCATAAAGTTCTCACACTGTGAGAGATGAAAAACCAGCCAAGGACACATAACGTCCTCAGGGCCCAGACACCATCTTGGAACAAGACACATGTTTGGTTGGTTTTGTTCTTGTTTTGCTTTTTACTTTTTTATTATTAATTAAATGTATTCATTCATTTTACATTCCACCAATTTCCCCCCTCTTTTCCTCTCATTCTCTCCCCACCACTTTACCCCATCACATCTCAATTCACTCCTCCTTTGTTTCTGTTTAAAGAAAAGGGCAGGCGTCCATGGGTGTCAACAAAGCATGGTATAGCAAGTTCAAGTAGGACTAAGCTCCTCCCTTTGTATTAAGGCTGCACAAGGCAGCCCAGTATGAGGAATAGGTTCATGGAAGTCAGCCAAAGCATTAGGGACAGACCCTGCCTCCATCACTAGGTGTCCCACAAGCAGATCAAGATAAATGGAATTTTAAGAAAGTTAAGAATGTCAGAGCTAGCATGGTGGCATGCCTGTAATCCCAGGACTCTGGAGGTAGAAACAGGAGGATCAGGAGTTCAAGGCCATCCCTGGCCACATAGTGAGGCTGAAACTGGCTGGAGCTACTAAAGATTCTGCCTCAATAAAAAGCCAGCAATAATACCCTGCCCTATGGTCCCCCCAAAATGTAAATTTGATGCTGGGAATGGAGTTTGATCACAACACAGTAAAAGAAAAGAAAAGTAACAATCTCTTTATTTGGAAACTTCAAATGAAACCCAGAGTATAAAAATAATACAGTGGACCTAAGACTCAGCAAGTCCAGTCATGTGTGTCCTAGGAGAACCTGGACTGGGATTGAGCTTCAGTGGCAACATGCTCAAATAGCATCCATGAGGTTCTGGTTTCAACCCCAAGTACCTCAGATAAAGAGAAAGAAAATTTAAAACTTCCCACATCATCAACAAATACATTTATTCCCAGGATGGATAATTAACTATTGCCTCATGTACCAAAACTGAGTAGAGGTGAGGGTCCTGGTTGTTGATCTGCCATCTGGGCTGAGCAGGAACTAAGCACCTCAGAGGCCTGCAGGCTGTGAGTCTCCCTGCCCTCCTGCCTCTTCCATGCACAATGACCACCTTCCAAGCCTCCAGAAGAGGAAGAAACTACTGAGTGAGGATGCCCAAGCCCTCAGGTAACTGCATGACAGTTTCTCTTGTTTCTGGAGGCTCCAGGACCAAGCCCCTGAGGAGAAGGAGCTTAGGGACACAGTGGGAACTGAAAGTGACTGTCACTCCAGGGCCTCAGAATGTGGTAATCCAAGTGGCACTGGGCCTGCCAGATTGAGGTGGGGTAGATGGCGACACTTCATTATGTCTCTCAAATCTTCCCAGTTCCACACAGCCTGGAGTGACCCTGGATATAAGCCTGGCCTCTCCAACAGGAATTCAGCTATCGGTTCCTGATTGCCTGATGGTTCTTGGGCACAGCCACATATCTCAGTTTCTTCATGACGGAGGGCCAGCCCAGCAGCTGCTGGTCCCACATGTACTCTGGGGACAGCACCTTTGTAGGCTTGTGGTACAACAGGTACTTGTTCAGATGACTCTCATCATGCCACACGGCCTCAATGCCATTGGCCTTGTCCTCCACCATAGCCTGATGGCAGGCCTTGGTGAGATGGTGCACCTCCACCACTGACCCCCCAAAAAAGGCCCCCATGTAATAAAAGTCGCCCTCATCCCAGGGAATGTAGGCCCGGGACTTCGGCCGGCGCTCGTAAGTAAAGGCCTCTCGGCTGCTTCTGTAGAAACCAGGATGCAGGGTACCGAAGAGTGCTGAGAGAATCTCCACACCCACGTGGTCTTGGAACTTCATGTCCACATCTGCACACACCAGGTAGTCCACCTCCTGCAGAAAGCGCCGCTCAGAGAAGTGGCTGATCATCTCCATCCTGTGCATGGACACATCCTGCCAGCGGGAGTAGTTGCGCACGGTCAGCACCACCAGCTTCCGTCCTGCCCCCAGGGGCACCTGCGGCACCTCGGCAGGACGGTCAGTGAAGACATAGTAGATGACCTTGTGTCCCACCATGAAGTGCTGCTCTGCTGTCTCCAGGAACAGTTTCAGGAACACCACATACCTGTGGAAGATGACAAAGGGGTAAGCAGAGGTTTAACACAGCTAGGGCAAGACTAACCAGGGCAGGGGCCCAGGCTGCAGAAACCATGGCTACCATGAGGCTTGAAGCAACAGCATCCCCACTTTACAGCTGTACTGAGCAGTCTGCAGGCTGTTCCTCACCTCACCCTCCTTTGCTTCAAAAGAGTATAACATCAGCACCACATCTTAGCAAGAAATGTTGAGGCAGAGGCCTGGAAGCTTTTACTCAGGCAGCAGAGATGACTCCAGACATAGGGATCCAGGCAGATATCCTGCAGGTATCTCTTGTCTTGGCAGGCCCCTCAGCAGGCCACCTCACCATGAGTCTGTCACCCTACCCCCAAAAGTGACAGCTCCCTCCCAAAACATTCCACATCCCACATCCTTGCATTGGCCTAAGCAGAGCCTGTGCTAACAGGGCCCCACTTTCTAAACCCTGGCGGAAATGGATGAATCTGTAAGGGCCTGGTACCTGCACCCCTCCTTTGTGGCACCCTTTAGGATTGTGCCTTAGGAAAGGAAGGGGTCTCTGTATCCCAGACCTTCCTCATCTGAGACTTGAAGGTGCTGGGGAGAAGGCACTCAGTAACTCACTATGTCCCTAAGTGTCATCCGCATTCACTCCACCAGAGGAGGAATCATCTCAGAGTATGCAGGGAAGGGGAGACAGACACCCCAGAAAGAAGGGCAAGCCTATCCCAACCCTCAGGTCCAAGGCGGAAGGATTATAACCTGAATTCTCGGTCCTCTCCCAGTCCAGGTTTTCACCTGTTTCAAATGGCTGCTTTTCCCTAGATGCTTTTCCCAGGGTCATGTTTCCCCACCATGGGAGCAGGGATCCCCATCACCTAGCAAGTGTGCCAAGCCCTCCCCACCTGTCATAAACAGGCAAGTGGCTGTTTTCCCTGTGCAATGGTGACCACTGGGCTCCCGGCTGGTTCCCTCAGAGGCCAATAACCTACCGACACCTCGCAGGGCTCTTGCTCATGCACAGCAGCACCCAGACAAAGTAATGTTTGTATCTTGTTACTGTCAGTTGCTAGCTACTCCCTAGTAGCTGCAGACATTCTCAAGGTGCCTAAGATCCCTCCAGCTGAGCCCCAAACCTTTCTCAGGTCCGATTGGTACAAAGGCCTCAGAGCTACTCTTGAACCTCACCTAGTGCTGCACGGAAGGATACAGAATTCTCATATGCAAACAGCACAAATGTCTCTCTCATTTCCCCTACAGCCTTCCACATTGTAATGTTGCCCTGACCTGATGCCCACAGGCTCCCACAGGCTCCCACAGGCTCTCTCAGGCTCCCACAAGCTGCCACAGGCTCCCACAGGCACCCACAGGCTGCCACAGGCTCCCACAGGCCCCCACAGACTGCCACAGGGCAAGGTTCTTGCCTGAGGTCTAAAGTCAGCTGACCCAGAGTCCCAGAGCTATGCCCTGCCCCCAGGTCTAAGGCTTCACTCAACCATTTCTGTCCTCTTCCTGCATCCGAGGATGCTTCAGTGGCCGCAGCTCTGCTGGTACCCGGTCCTTGCCAGCCCTGGGAACGGGGCTCCTCACCTGATGCATGTGCTGAGAGATGCAAATGGCATCTGCCTGAGAGCACAGAGACCTGGAGGCAGTTGGCCTGGAGTTCTGAATGGAGGCAGAGCTGGGCTTCATTCCCCTATGAGCCCATCAGTAGTCAGGAAGGTGGCAGAGTGAACAAGCCGTACCCCCCACTGCATCCTAAATACAAGCGTGGAATTTATATCTAGGTATGTCTAGCCTCCACCTTTACCATTGTGCACATATGTACATGTGTGTGCATGGCCATTGTATAGATTTGTGTTTATTTGCCTGTGTGCCTGTGTGGAGGACAGAGGTTGACTTTGGGGGGGTCTTCTGTCATTTTTCCTTTCTGTTCTTTGGACAGGGTCCCTTCTCTAACTCTGAAGCTCAATGTTTGCCTGTGCTGTCCAGAAAGCTGCCTGGATCCACTTGTCTGTCCCCTTCACCCTCAGTACTAGGATTACAGGAACGTGACTCCATGCCCAGTCATTACACGGGTGTTAGGGATAAAACTCAGGTCCTCACGTCCCTGAAGAAAGTACTTTATACTCAGCCATCTCTCCAGCACCCTCTGCTTACTTTTTGATGGCAAACACGGTCAGTCCAATGGTGGTGTTCTGAAGCCTGAACTGCTCATTCAGGATGTCGATGTTGAAGGTCCCCTCCCAGATGATGGGAGCCAGCCACGGAGTCAAGACAAGAACATCTTTCCTACTGCAAGGGGAGAGAGCCAGAGGCAACATGTGATCAAACACGTCTGCAGGAACCCTTCTCAGATTCTCACCCTCAGCTTCCCCCGGGGCTGCCCAAAACCCTGAGTGAGGGCTGGGCCAATCAGCAGCTCTCACTGACTACCCCAACCCAACTCTAAAAGCAACTGAGTTTATTACCACTGCAGCCTGAAAACCCTGGTGACAGAGACAGGAAACAATGAACAGAAGCCCAGATGGAGAATGAGAGCCAGAAGATGCTCTGGGCTCCAGAATGAGATGACCTTAAGTCTCGGAAAAGGTTGTTGAAGTGAGTGCAAAGAGAATCATAATTGGGTTTTTGGTTTTTTTTCTGAGTTCTTTGTTTTTCCAGTGCTGGAGACTGACCCAGGGTCTCAGGTGTGCTGCTGAACTATTCCCCAGAGCAAGCAAATGGTCCTTCTATACCTGTGCGACTCCTGCACTACACATGCACTGACTAAATCTACTCACCTGGGTGTTAGCACCTTTGGCTGGATGTAGACCATCCTGCAATAAGAAAACACCAGAACTCAAGGTGACAAGAAAATTCTTGGGATGCATGTCACTGGCAGCTGTGCACCAGACACACAGACCTGAACGAGTTGTGGGCATCATGTCTGTCCGTGGTCCTGGGAGCTGAGGATGAGCTGAAGCAGGAAGATCACAGTCTTGACTGAAAGTAGGGAGAGAAATCATAATATCTCCTACCCCACTTAAGGATAGGAGAGACAAGAACTACTTAAATTCACAAACCTGATGGGACCAAAGTTTTGTCCCTGGTAGTTGTTGACCACCCCACCTGGGCCAGCAACCTGCCTTGATCCTCTTCTGGCTGGTGGCACACAAAGTCCTGGCTCTCTCTGTCTGTTATGATTTATGGCATGAAAGGGACCCTGGTGGGTCCCATGGCATATAAGGACCTGTTAAGGCACCAGAGAGACCTTTGTGGCATTGGGGCCAAATCATGATTGGTGACAAATACACCATGCAGACAGAATTTGAGTGTGGAGTTTATTGAGGGTAGGATAGAAGGGAGGGAAGGATGGGAGGGAGAGAAGGGAGGAGAGAGAATCAAAGGCCTGTTTACATCTTCAGAAGAGCAGGGAGGGAAAATCACAGTCTGTTACAATACACAGAGGAACAAAAGATGAGTGACCAGCCACCAGGCAGGACACACCACTCTCTAGGGCCTCTATATGGGCCCAAACCCCAGGCCCCTCCCCGACCTGTCTCAGCTTCTCTAGTCAGCCTCTAGGAGATTTCCTGAAGGTAGACTGCTCCAATATCGACAATGTCCATTGGACTCTGCAAACTACAAGCCCCACTCTGCTCCTAAACTTGCCTATCCTTCCACAACCTCAGTGGAACTCTGAAATACAGTTTGCTACAATACAGAGAGGACCAACAGAGAGAACCACAAGAACCATGAGGGAGAACCAAGAGGAGGACCAAGAAAGGAATTCTGAAGTACAAGCTGTGGCTGCACAGAGCAGACCAGACCAAGAGAGAGGGCTAAGAGAGACCTCAGTGGCTCCCTAAGACACAGAGAGTGACAGTATAGAGCAGATAGAGAACAGTTCCTAAAGACGAAAACAAACACAGCAAGGATTGGACCAAGATGCAAAGACACTGCCAGCATCAACTGAAGGAAGAGATTGGTAGGCGCCAATGCAAGAATTCATTCAACAACCTAAAAAGCAACGTGGTAACACAAGAACCCAGTGGTTATACAACAGGAAGACTTGATCATCTGAATCCAGAAGAAACAGAAGAAAATGATTTTAAATGTAACTTTATGAAAATGATGGAGACTTTAAAGAGGAAGTGAAAAACTCTTTTAAAACAACAGAGGAAAAGATAAAAAATTGGAAGAATTTAATAAATCCCTCAAAGAAAAAAAAACCCATGAAAAAACAACCAAACAGGTGAAGCAAAGATTATGAGACTGAATACTGAAATAGAGGCAATAAAGAAAACACAAACCGAGGAAATTATGGATATGAAAAATCTGGGTAAATGAACAGGAACTACAGAGGCAAGCATAACCAACAGAATACAAGAGCTGGAAGAGAGAATCTCAGGTGTTGAAGATACTATAGAGGAAATCAATTCATTCATCAAAGAAAACATAAAATTCAACAAATTTTTAACACAAAATATTCAGAAAATCTGGGACACCATGAAAAGACTAAACCTAAGAATAATAGGGATAGAAGAAGGAGAACTCCAGCTCAAAAGCACAGAAAATATAATCAACAAAATCACAGAAGAAAACTTTTCCAACCTAAAGAAGGTTACCCCTATGAAGGTATAAGAAGCTTACAGAACACTAAATAGACACTCATAGCTAAATAATAATCAAAATGCAAAATAAACAGAATAAAGAAAGAATATTAAGAGCTGCAAAGGAAAAAGGTCAAGTAACATATAAAGGTAGACCTAATAGAATTACACTGAACTTCTCAATGAAAACCATAAAAGCCAGAAAATCCTGGGCAGATGCTGCAGATGCAAACCCAACAAAGGTTTCAATCACCATTGATGGAGAAAACAAGATATACCATGAAAAACCAGATTTATACAATGTGTATTCAAAATCTAACCCTACTAGAAGGAAAACCCCAACCCAAGGAAGTTAACTGTGCCCACAAAAACACAGGCAACAGATAACCTCCCACCAGAACCCCCCACCCCCAGCCTAAAAGGGAAACACACATGCACACCACTGAAAAATAACAGGAATTAATAATCACTGGTCATTAACACCTCTTAATATCAATGGACACAATTCCAGTGGAAGGGGAAGAGGGGGAGAGAAGGGGAGGAGAAGGAGTACTTGAGAGAATGGGATAGTCGTGATAGAGAAAGGACAGAATTGAGAGCAAGGAAAGAGATATTCTGATTGAGGGAGCCATTCTGGGCTAGTAAGAAACCTAGCACTAGAGAAATTCCCAAGGATGATCCCAGCTAAGTCCCTAAGCAATAGAGGAGAGAGGGCCTGAACTTAACTTGCCCTGTTATCCGACTAATGAATATCTTAAATATTACCATATAACCTTCATTCAGCAACTGATGAAAACAGAGTCAGAGATCTGCATCAGAGCACTGGGCTGAGCTCCCAAAGTCCAGTTGAAAAGTTGGAGGAATGAGACTATGAGCAAAGAGGTCAAGACCATGATGGGGACACCCAATGAAACAGTTTACCTGAGCTAATTGGAGCTCACCAACTCCAGCTGGACAGGGAAGGAACCAGCATAGGAACAAACTAGTCCCTCTGAATGTGGTTGACAGTTGCATGGCTGAGGCAGATGAAGGGTCCACTGGCAGTGGCACCAGGATTTATCCCTACTGCTTCTACTGGCTTTTTGGGAACCCATTCTCTTTGGATGGATATCTTTCTCTCCCTAGATATAATAGGGAGGGCCTTCCCCAAAGCATTGTGACTTACCCTCTCTGTGGAGTGGATGGGATGGGGTGGGGTAAGGGGTATGTAGAGGAAATGGGAAGAGGGGAGAGAGTGGGAACTTGAATTGGTATGTATAATGAAAAAGGATAATTTGTTTTCTTTTTTTAAAAAAAATAAAATAAGAAGAGCAGGGAGGGAGAGATTAGGAGTGGACAGAGCTTGTCTCTTAAAGGGACAGGGTACTGTTTGCCATGAACATTGGCGTGACTCAGGGTGTGACACACTGTGCCAGGTTCCCAAGGGACAGGGCCCAGGTGAACCTGAATACTAACATTGTCTCTGTCAGAGATCAGCCTTAACATAGGTGTAAAGTTTCCTCAAAAGGCCTGGGGCAATGTATGGCAGTGGATGTCCCCACAAAGGATGTGAGGCCATAAGGGACAAGAGTCACCTTTGCTGGAAAGCTGCTTGCCCTATGATGGCTTGTAAATCAGAGAGCAGGGATGGAGAGATGCTCAGCAGTAAGAGCACAGACTCTTTTTACAGAACAACAGGATTCAGTTCTCAGCACCCACATGGAGACCCACAATGATGTGGGAGTCCCCTCTGTGTGCTGTGATTATCATTAATGAATAAAGAAACTGCTTTGGAGCCATAGTAAGACAGAACTTAGGTAGCTAGGCTGAATGCTGGGAGAAAAAAGGGCAGAGTCAGAAAGAAGCCATGGAGCCGCCACCAGAGACAGATGTGCTAAAACTTTGCTGGTAAGCCACAGCCACATGATGGTGCACAGATTAATGGAGATGGCTTAAATTAATATATGAGTTAGCCAATAAAAAGCTGGAGCTAATGGGCCAAGCAGTGATTTCAATAATAATGTTTCTGTGTGGTTATTTTGGTTCTGGGTAGCAAGGATGAACAAACAGCCTTCTACACCACAACAGTGATGGAGGAGGGTCATCTTTCTATCTGTTGTTTCGTTGGTTAAGTAATAAAGAAACTGCTTGTCCTCTGATAGGACAGAATTTAGATAGGCGGAGTAAACAGAACAGAATGCTGGGAGAAAGAAGCAGAGTCTAAGAGCTGCCATGATTCTCCCACTCCAGACAGACGCAGGTTAAGATCTTCCCTGGTAAGCCACCACGTGGGCTACACAGAATATTAGAAATGGGTTAGATCAATGTGTAAGAGCTAGCCAATAAGAGGCTGGAACTAATGGCCAAGCAGTGTTTAAAAGAATACAGTTTCCGTGTAATTATTTCGGGTATAAAGCTAGCCGTGCGGGCGGCTGGGTGCCAGGAACGCAGCCCTGCTGCTCCTATTACAACACAACAGTCTGTTACTTCAGTTCTAGGGGATCTGAGTTTCTTTTCTGGCTTTTTGGGGCTCTGAAATGCATGTAACAGACATACATGCAGGCACAACATTCATACACATATAAAAATTAATCTTTTTTTAAGACAGAGAAGAAGCCTTTAAATAAACATGGAAAATTTCTCCACAGGGATAAAGTTTGATGATCCCTTAATGGATGAGTCTGGCCAGTCACATAAGATAAACCCTACAGGACCCCATCCCTAGGAGACACTACTACAGAGCGGCCGTGCTCAGAGGAACAACACAGAACAGGCAAGATGAGTTCCAGGACCCCCAGTAGGGCTGGGCAATGGGGAGTCGGTGTTTAACGGACACAGTTTACAAGATGGGATGTTCTGGAGACAGATGGTGGTGATGGCTGCACCACAGCATGAATGTGCTTACTGCACTGAACATTGAAATGGTGAGCATGGTAAACTCATGTGCTGTGTGTGCTGCCCTGGGAATGTGGTGAACAGCTGTAAACTCAGCTCTGTACCTCAGGAGCCAGGCAGACAATTTAAAAGTCAAATGACATGTAGTTAGTCAATACAAAGTGTAGGGCTATGTGCTCTGCTTTGGGTCCAGGAAGAGACATCCTAGCTGCTCATAATTACACACACACATGCACACACACACACACACACACCTCCATCTGCACCCCTTAGTCCAGAGTGGCGAGCACCATGTGAGGGCAGGTTACCTTGACAGGGCTACAACTTCCTGGACATCCAGCTCCCTGACAGGCACACTGCAAAAGGAGAACACAGGAGACAGATTTTGACCAGGTACACAGAGACTGGAGGAAGGAGCATGGCTCCTGAGGGTACAATAATCTGTCTGTTACAGTTAAGAACAATATAGTGGTGAACGTCCCAGGCACTATGTCAACAACATGAACTCAGGCACTGCCATTTCACAGATCCCAATGGGTAGGGAAGAGAAACTGTTCTAAGGACTGCCCATGTAGGTAGGAGAATGAGTCTTAATCCGGAAAAGACAACAGTTTCCCCCCAAAATCACTCCATTTAAAGACAGCAGAGGGCAGTTGAGGATGCTCTGGGCAGCTTAAAGTAGGACTAGACCCATCCACGAAGAAGTACAGGCAGAGGCCACAGCATGTAGCAGAATGTTCATCTAGTCAGTAACCAAAACACACACACACATGTATGACAGATACACAAACATGATATATACATACATATAAACAAATATGATACAAATATAACACACACATAAGATACATAAATATATGACACACACATTCCACAAACACTCACCTAGTCACAGTTCCTTGGTGTCCCAATTCCTGACTTCTTTGGCTCAGGAACCCATAGCTGTGGGAAGGGTGCACACAGGGGCAGCTGTTCAGGACACAGACCTGAGACCGGCTGGTTGTCCCCGCCTCCAAAAGGCACCACTGCATCCAGCACAGTGAGCCCAGAAGTTCTCAGTGGGGATGCAGGGCCACGTGACAGGACTAAGCATGCCCATCACACTAGAAAAAGAGGTGGTGAGAGGAAGGACCCTGGGCACAAGACCTCTATCTAAACACCTGTAGCAGCTGCAGATGGCCCCACCTCCATGCCAGATACCTATAGCCCAAGATCACATCTGGGACTATTTCCTGATTGCATCTACAGAAGCCCCAGTAGACATAGCAGTGACTTTGCTCTGTCGGGGTTCTCAGACCATCTGCATCTAGAGAGAACTGCCTCGGAGCCACCAGGCCTGCCTTCCTCTCCTTCCCCAGACCTACCTACATAGCTATGGCCAAATGACAGGGCATCCAGCCCCAAGATTTTGTGAAATCAAAAGAGGTTTGCAAGAGAGGCTTCACTAATGAGACCAAAAAAGCTTGACATGCCAATGTGTTGGAGCAAGAGCAGCATCCTTATGACCGATGTGGTAGTGCGTATGCTCGTAGCTCAGGGTCCCCATCAGGGTCTGATGAGCTGTTCCTCACCAGCCTGGATTCTTACCCAAAGAAGACCAAGAAGAACATTGTGAGGGGAAGGATTCCGAGGTGAAGCGAGAAGCATTTTGGTTTTCCTGAAAAACAGCAGCAAGGGATCCGGTTACACATGCCGTTCTTAGGCCTGACCCCCCTCCAGGTCTCTCCTGAGTTTCAGAGGTCATCCTCATGACCACAGCAACCACTGTGCCCTATCTCAGGCAGCCCCAATCCTTGATGAGGCTCCAGCCTGGCTGAGCACTCAGAGGGAAAGTTGTTTACTTCCTGCTCCTGACTCCAGCTGCTCCCTTGGGCCCTCAGGATCCCCTTGGGCCCACATGTCCTCAAACTATTGAGCACCCCTTCAGAAGTGAACCAAAATGAATACCTTGGGGCCATTGCTGACTCCATCAGAGGAGGCTAGGGCAAGCTCCCCCCTGTCCCCTGTAGGCTCCCATCCACAAGGACAGCAGTAGGCATGTCTTGACTGAGTTTTCTGTCCTGCCTGGTTCCCACAATCGTTAAGTCCCAAAGAAATCACACAGAGTTCTACATTAACTATAAACTGATTGGCCCATTAGCTCAGGCTTCTTATTAACTCTTATAACTTATATTAACCCATTATTCTTATCTATGTTAGCCACATGGCTCAGTACCTTTTCTGGCAGGATAGGTCACATCTTTCTTTTTCTGTGGCAGGCTCACAACTGCAGAAAGAGTTTCCTTCTTCCCAGAATTCTCCCGTTCTCATTGACCCGCTTCTACTTCCTGTCTGGTTGTCCCGCCTATAATTCCTGCCTGGCTACTTGCCAATCAGCATTTATTTAAAACATAATTGGCAGAATACTACAATTGTCCCGCACCAGGCCTGTTCTAGGACTTTTTCTCACGCTGGGGTTGAAACCTAGGGCTCATGAATATTGGGTAAGTGTTTCACCACTGACCTATGCCCCTAATACCTCAGATGACTGTCACGTCTCTAGAAGTTATGTATTCTCATAATCAAGTTCAAATAGACTTAAAAGACATAGATCTAAATAGACTCAGGTGTGGGCTCTGGAGAAGAGCTCAGTGGGTAAAGCTTTTGTCATAGCCACACAAGTATAGGGACCTCAGTTCAGATCCCCAGAGCCTAGGAAAAGTCAGACATCTGAAATCCCAGCATTCCTGTGATGAGGTGGGAGGGGGTGGGAGACTCCAGAAGCTCACAGCCAGCTGGGCTGCACACAGCGAGAAACAACAAAGAAACCCTGTCTCAAACAAGGTGAAAGGCAAGGACCATCATTCCCCATGGCTGTCCTCTGACACAGGCACACCGGCACAGACATGGTGTGTTTTTAGAGGTTTGTGTCTAAAAAACCTTAGTCTCCCTGTCCCAGCCAGTTACTTCCCCTTTAAACCACCTGATCTGATACTTTGTTTCTTATTTTATTTGCTTATTTAGTTGCACGTGTGTGTGTGTGTGTGTGTGTGTGTGTGTGTGTGTGTGTGTGTACCTGTGCGTGCCTCAGAGCACTAATGGAGGTCAGAGGGCAACTTGCAAAGGTCGGTTCTCTTTCCACACTGTGAATTCCAGGGATTGAACTCAGGTCAAGTTTGTCTTCCAGCACCTTTACCCTCTGAGCCATCCCATTTGTCACTTCTTATGCTTCCTCTCCACGTCTCCACATCCTCCCACAATGGAACAAACAAAGAGAAACCGACATGGGAACTTTCTTCGTCCTCATTATGTTCTCTTCCATGTTTTGGTGGTCACAGGTTATAGAGGAATCTAACGGAAGGTAACATCTCCCCAATCTTTAAATAGTTGCTACTTTTTAACTTTTAAAAATGTCTCCTTTGGAGATAAAGAGATGGCTCACCACATTAAGAGCACATGGCATCTCACAACCATAATTAACTCCAGTTTCAGGGAACCCAATAAGGTCTCTGGCCTTTTAAGGCACCAAGCATACCATTGATTCACAGAAATACATGCAGAAGAATGTTCATGTACATTAATATAAACTTCTTTTTTTTTTTTAAAAAAAAAAAAAGCAAATGCCCGGTGTATTAAAAAGGAAAGAGCAAGGTTTTTAAAGGCAAAAGCAAGAAATAGTGTGTATACTTTTTTGTTCCTTTCTTGTCTGGTTGAGTATTTTGGGTTTCTTTGTTGTTGTTGATGTTGCTGTTGTTTTGGGGGTGTTTGTTTGTTTGTTTTGAGACAGGGTTTTTTTCCATGTAGCTCTAGCTGTCCTGGAACTCCGTCTGTAAACCAGACTGGCCTTGAACTCAGAGATCCACTTGCCTCCTGCTCTGAGTGCTGGAATTAAAGGCACGTGCCACCAATGCCACCAATCTAACTAAATAATCTAATCTAACTAGATAATCTAATTTAAATCTAACAAAATATGCCCATTTAATCCAATATGGTCTCTGATCTTTTAAGGCACCAAGAATACAATTGGTGCACAGAAATACATGTAGACAGAATGTTCATGTACATAATTATAAATAATTTTATATTTAAAATATTGTTTGATGCTCTTTGAACAAGGAACTCCCTTGCTGAGTATGCCCCACACTCTCCTCCTCATCTATATATATAAATCTAGAGACCCATCTGCCCTCTTGGCTGGATGTTTACAGAACACAATGCTGTCAATACTCACCACAGGATTGTGTGAGACCTCGTCATTGTTTTTATTGCTTAAAAAAATATCCCCAACAGTTTCAACCTTTTAAGGAATTACATTCTTCCTGTCACATCATTCTAGCAGTCATCAAACACTACGTGGTGGGAGCTGGAGAGGATGCTCAGGGATTAAGCACACTTCCTGCACTATCATTGGGGCCTGAGCTGGGATTCTAGTAGGCATGTAAACCAAGAATTCCTGAAGGAAGGCCTGTAACCAGGTAACACACACTCTAGGTGTGTGTGTGTGTGTGTGTGTGTGTGTGTGTGTGTGTGTAGGTATCCCTGGGGTTTGTTGGCTTCAAGATTAGATTAACTGAGGAAACTGAGTCTCAGGTTTACAGAGAGACCCTACCTTAAAGTAATAGATAAAGAGTTATAAAGAGGGACACCTAATGCCCACTCCTGCCATCTGTACTTTCACTCCTGGATGTGTGTGTGTGTGTGTGTGTGTGTGTGTGTGTGTGTGTAACTTTCAACGTTGAAGAAATATAAAAAAGGGATATGTGGTAGTTTGAATGTAATTGGCCCCATACTCTCATAGGGAGAGGCACTATTCGAAGGTCTGGCTTTGTTGGAGGAAGTGTGTCACTATGGAGGTGGGCTTTGAGGTCTCATATGTGCTCCAGCCACACCCAGTGTCTCAGACCACTTCTTATTGCCTGTGGGTCAAGATGTATAACACTCAGCTGCTTTTCCAGCACCTTGTCTGCCTGCAAGTCACCATGTCACACAATGATGCTGTGAAGAGATACCATGACCATGGCAGCCCTTATAATAACTCAACCTCTTAGAATTAATTCTCCCCAATTTAATATATTTCTATTATAAGTGCTGCTGTGGTCATGGTATCTCTTCACAGCAATAGAAACCCTAAGACAGGAGATAGTAACATCTTTAAAAGATAAAAAAAATAGTTTACCAGGCATTTTACCAAAGAAACACAAGCTGCTCAAAATTTCTTGTTCTTAGAAGAGCACAAGTTAAAACCATAGTAACGGTTGGGTTTCTGTGAGTCACAGACTAGCCAGGACTTACTGCTGTTTGTTCTGCTTCGGTATCACCAACCATCAATCATTACTTCTACATGGAATGAATAGTGGCTAAGTATGATCCGCCAGGTTCTGACAAGCAGGTCACCCTAAGGCATGATCACTTCTGAGATGTTCATTAGGTCTTCTTATCAAGCACTGGGGAGACCCACAGAAAAGAAGAAGACCCAGCATGCAGGTACTTTCCAGAATTCCTGATTGATCAGTTCTCCAAGAACTAGTACTTTCTAAAAACCCACACATCAACCATGCTCAACCAACTCACCAACAACCACTGTGTCTAAACTCCAGGCTTTCTTCATCTGGTAGAGGCCCTCTCTACCTCCCAGCACTCTTCACCAAATTCTGGTGCTGTGCCTCCCCTGCACTGGCTCTTCTCCTGACACACTGGCTCTCAAACTTGCACATATCAGGCCTCTCATTTATTATATGGAGACTCATACTTCCAAGCTTACCTCCTTTTTCCTGTTCACTGTGGCAGGCATTCTTCTGGTATCTTGGATGATGATAACTACCAGTGTTCAACAAATTTCACTAAGTAGATGAATAGAGATTAAACAAGACGGGTAGCCCAAGAATAGGCACTTATTTGCCAAGTTCCTCAAAAACCCTGAACGTTTTTAATCTTCAAGACATCTGTCTCAGGTACAGGCATGGACGAGATCCTGAACTGGGGCCTCAAGTTTATGGACACCCACTGAAGAGTGGTCCTCGGAGGGTCCCAGAACAAGTAAAATGATTAGTCTCTGACCTGAGGAAACAATGCAGCTCACGGGCAGAAGGAAATGAGGAGCTGGTTTTCTTATCTTGGCTAAAGACTGCGTCACAGGTGTCAAAAGTTATCAAATTGTATACACTGTATGTTTTACTATATAAGAGCTGTTAACATTTATTGGGAAGATGTAGATTACAAAAGAAGGATAGTGGAGGTAAACAGATAAAGAAAGCACAGAGAACAGCCCAGGAAGCATTCCCAATGACAGAAGCAGGGATTACAGTATAGCAACTCAACTCCATTCCCTCTGTGTCTCTCCAAACCTATCTTTCCACAGCAAAACAGAGAGAAATTTACCCCTTCCCATTCCAAGGACGCACTCACTGAGAGACCAGTGAGCTTAAACAGAGCCTGGCTGAACAAACACCAACATTGAGGTGGTTGGAATCACCAGGAATGACTGGCCCCATGTTATACAAATCATATTTTTTTTAACCTAAACTTTGCCCTAAGAGCCTTCATCAACTACCCAGCACGACCCACTCAGCCCAGAATGATAAATGATGTATCCCTGGGAATAAAAAGTGAGTCACCCTATGAGGTTATGGGTGTGAGTTGAGACTGTAGGTGCATATGGGCATATTAAAAATCAAACTT